GAAATGTCATCTTTCACCTTTTAGACGCTTCGATATCCTTTTTTTTCCTCCTAAAACCATCGGAAGGGAACACGTTTTCTAGGAAAAGTCCGTCTGTCCTCAGTATTTAGACTTTTTCTCCACCTGGAAGGTAAGAAACCGTGTAAATGTTTAGGGAATAAAGTCTGGAATATCTGAATATCTGAAGTATCCAGACTTATCAGAGCTTCTGCCTCATGAAAATCCACCAAAATGAGAGTTTTAGAGACCAAAATCAGCAGAAAAAGGGGGGAGAAACTCCTCTTTTAAAGCCTGAATGCTTTACTCCTATGGGACAGACTCTTGTCATCCATTTTTCTGTTTTAATTCATGTGGATTTTTGTAAAGGTTGACCTCGACCGGACGACTCGGACCTTCTGCTTTCGACTCGGATCGGAAGCCACTTGAAAAACTTTAAAAGGGAAAAAAAAAAAATAGGCCCAAAACTGTTTTTTGAAGGGGAATTGAGTGTTTGATGTTTCGATTGTTTCCTCCCTCTCTGTGCTCCTGAAGCCTTAAATCTTAGTGTATTTTTCCTCTCTTTTCACTTCACGCTGGGATATTTGGTCAGAAACAAACCGGCTGAAAACAGAAGCACCAGAACCACCGGAAATGTTTAATTTCTCAGAGGAAAAAGTCCCCTGTGATCGAAAACCACCAGTTTTCTTATTTCTAAGTTGTTTTATTGAAAGAAAAAAAAAAGCTTCAAGCATCAAACACTTATTTTGTTCTTTAAATGAATGATTTTCAAGTAAAACCTTCTCACTTTTATATTTAAAATTCAGATTTGTTTAAAAACGTGTCCATTTTTGGGAAACCTGGGAAAAAAGGGTTCCATTTCTTCCTTAAATGTCAAGTTTTTAGTCTAAAATAGTCATGCAAAGAAATTAAAAGGGTGATTTTAACCGACTCATCAGATCATGTTTAATTTTTAAGAAAAACAACCAGTTTTTCTTTACTATGAATGGTAGAAATTGAAATTTTTATCAGTTTTCCTCTGAAGCTAATCAGCGTTTTCTGCCGACTTGTCAGATCATGTTTAATTTTTAACAAAAAAAGGCTGTTTTTCTTCACTTTGAATGGTAGAAATTGAAATATTTATCTTTTGTCATAGGACACTTATCAGTTTTCCACCAACTAGTCAGATCATGTTTAATTTTTTAGAAAACAACCAGTTTTTCTTCACTTTGAGTAATAGAAATTGACATAATTCTTCACTTTGAATGGTAGAAATTGACATATTTATAATTTGTTTTGCTAATAGGACACTTTTTTTATCAGATTTCAGCAAACTAGTCAGATCATGTTTCATTTTAAGGAAAAACAACCAGTTTTTCTTCACTTTGAATGCTAGAAATTGACACATTTCTTCACTTTGAATGGTAGAAATTAACATATTTCTTCACTTTGAATGGTAGAAATTGAAATATTTGTCATTTGTTTTGCTA